AATTAATCAGCAACTGCTCTGGCACTAACCAGCAGTAGCAGCCGAGTAGACACAAGCGTTCCGAGTCACGGAACAATGTGCCCACTTACCTGATATTTTGCATTGAATTACCAAATAACTAAATATTGTTCTACGATTACTAATGAGAGGGTCTGCGGCTCGATCGAATAGCCGCTTCTAATGGGTTTCTAGTTGCAGTCGAACAAAGAGGACGAGAACAGTAGTTAGAGCTTATGTCTAATAATATTACAGAAAATTGTTTTAGCGCTTTAAGTATTTTTTTAAAGTTATAGAAATACATAAACATACATGATACATATATGATTTGTTGTGCTTATATTCTATTTATTATCTCTATTAGATAATCAGGTTACAAGCGCGTGGCCTTTAAATTGTCTTTTATGTTCCTAAAATATTCGAACCATCTCCTTTTATAGTTATTACATTTTTAAAGTTATTAATGTAAATTTTTTTTTAAATAAATACAATAATAAATAAATAACAAAAAAAAGAAGAAATGTAGAGTTTAGACATTTAAACTTATAACTTTAACTTGTTCCTAGAACTATAAATTAGTAAACAAAAACGTAGTAACCAAAAAACCTGTATTTGCAGATAATTAAAACAGCCGAACTGCAGCCAAAGCTATTGTTAGATATTTATCTTATATACAACACAAATTAAGAATGTAATTTGTCGAACCTTATAAGAATTTTAGTACGGGACCAATATTTTATAATCCGAAATGCAAATCCCAACAAATAAAACCTGTTTAAAAATAAAAGCGCTTAAGAAAGCTGATGAAAAAGGATATGACAGATAGAGGAGTATTCGACAAATCCTAATGAAATTTTTTTCAACGGATTAATTGACCAAAAATAATAACAAAGAGGAAGCTTTTAAACTGATTTTATTAAAAAAAAAGACAATGTTGCATCAAAAACAGACATATATGTGTACATCAACAGAAAGTAATCTAGATCTAAAACATTAAATAAAATAAACCAAGTTTAAAGGGTATCGTAAAAATTTGGAATACGGTGATCGACACAAGAAATTTCTTGAATCTCAGAAGTAATACAAGTCAAGTAGCTAAATTTGTTTATAGCTTTTAATTAACTTAAGGGGTTATATACAGTTGTACCACACAAAAAAATGGAATTTTATCGATTTTTTTTTGACACCATAGAAAATATTTATGAAAAATGTTTTACCGACGTTGTTTAGTACATGTTTCTGGGTCCTTTTTTAAATTTTTTCATAAAAAAATATTACATAATAAAAATGTTATAGCCGAATTCCCGGATCGTCTTTTTTCGATGGTGTCTTGCGGTGGACATGATATCCCGAAAACGGTTCATCCAAAATCCAAAATTCAAAAAAGTTTAGTTAGTATATTGTATTGCCTAGTCCGTGAACGAAGTATTTTTAAAAATTTTGATTAACAAAAAAATGGCGACGTTTTTAACAAAAAATTTACTTTTTCAAGGTGTAAGATTTTCAATTTTTATGCTTTAAAAAAAGGAGTTTTCAAAAAAATTCCAAATCCCTCGTTCACGGACTAACTAATATAAGTGGTCAAAATTTGGTGTTGATCGGATTATTAGTTTTTTAGTAATCGTGTCCACCGCAAAGGTAATTTCCAAAAAAAGATAAAAGATTCTGAGATAATCGCGTTTAAAGTTTCAAGTTTGTTCAAGTTTTATATGCAGGTAGCGCGCTATAAATAGCTTCAACTTCGGTTCTAATGATCCGATCATTATGAATTTTTGTGCAAGTATTCTCAACAGTGTATACTTAAAGAATATGCAATAAAATCGATTTTTGAATCAATCACAACTGTATATAACCCCTTAATTCTTTATAAGGTCCGATTTTTATCAAATCTGAATATTAAGAAAATACTATTTAACTTTTTGAGCAACAGGAATAATAAAATACGATTTGTTAACTAGTACTGATTTTAATAGAAGGTAACATGTAGGTATTCTATATGTAGGTAACATAAAAAACACATCTAAGTTTTTATCACTCTGTGATATAATCTTAAAAGATTAACGGAATAGTCTTAAATGATTCTAGAATATATATAACTTGAAGTAATTCCAAACTTTTTTATACACTAGTTCCACTGTAAGCAAGTCTCTGGGGCGGTGCCGTCGGGTAGGGCTGATAGTGGGCTGGCGGGTGAAGCATCTCCAGTCAATGCACTTTTTGCGGTCTCGGCGGCATTGTGGCTTTGTAAGTCAAGGGCAGGCGTTCACTGAACCCTGTTTTTCAGCCCATTGAAACCCATCATCATCATAATCACCAAGAGCAATAATTATGGCCAAACGCTCAAGAGATACTGATTGTACCGTGTTGCAATAAACACAGTAATTGAATGTGAACTTCTAGGTGAAATCCGAAATTTATAAATTAAAGAGAAACTCATCTTTTCAAATCTCTTATTAATACAGTTCTCAGTGCTTAACAATACAGTTCATGGAAAAATAGCGTTTTTTCGTCTTGTTCATTAAAAATGTCTATCCATGGGTTAATCACTTCATTAAGAAGGTGTTCTAGTTTCCTGTGAAGTACCAACATTTGTTTTATCAACGACCATTTTCAAATAAATAATACGCCAATGTCGCTTGACTTGGCTCTTGTGAGTCGTAATTACCGTCTAAATGCAGAGAACTAATTAATGAAGCAATAAGGCAAGCCAATTTAAAAAAATATTAATTTTACCTTGAAATGGTCTTTAGAAAATATAGGACTTGGTACTGAAAATGGGAGATTTCTTGCTTAAAATAAAAAAAAAACAAGAAAGGAAAGTTAACTTCGGGTGGAGCCGAAGTTGATATACCCTTGCAGTTAAAACCGGATATATGGTATATCGCAAAATCGGATATAGTTGGCCGATCCAACTATAAAGAAGATTCAAGAATATCATAATATAACCAGTTTATTCTAATACAAAACAAAAAAAAAGTCCCAAGCTTTCATCTTTAAAAACCAAAGTTTGTATTTTTACCAAACACCAGTTCAGTTATATGGCAACTATAAGATATAGTCGGCCGATCGTTATGAAATTTGGTAGGTCGGATCAACTGGCCAAAGATAGAATCTGTACGAAATTACAACTTCTATTACAACTACAACTTCTACAACGAAATCTATCTTCAAAAACACGAAAGTTTGGTCATTTCCGATTTTTCAGCACAAGGTTACCAAATTCAGTTACCAAATTTCACAAGGATCGGCCAACTATATCCTATTGCTGCCATGTAGCAGGGAATAAGTTCGGAATAAGAATAAGATCCCCTTTTAGGGAATAAGTTCGTTCGTTCTTTTTTAGGACTGAACTAGGACTGAATTAAAAACTTTAAAAAATTAAAAAAAAAAAATTAAAATTTTAAAATTTTTAACACTTTTGAAGTGTTTCCATATTTTACTGTGTTTTCTTTTTAGATACATTTCGCTGTTGTCCACTCAAAAGTTTGTTTACAAACAATTTTCAGTTACAGGGATGCATAATAAGGGTGCATAAGGATGCATAATTTAAAACTGAGAGACTAGTTCGCGTAGACAGACAGACGGACATGCTTATATCAACTCAGGAGGTGATCCTGAATCAAGAATATACATATATACTTTAAATCGGAGATGTCTCCAACACTGCGTTGCACACTTTTGACCAAAATTATAATATCCTCAGCAAGGGTATAAAAACCTTGCGTAGTAAGCTAGAATATTACATATTATTACATATTACATTGAATTTTATCCTTTGATATTTGTTTATATATCTCAATAACATAAAAAGGTATTATGGTACTGTGTCTGATGCTAAAGAATGGTTCAGATTCATCAACTCAGATTTTGTAAATTCAAAATATGGAAAAGTATAAATATTATAAAAGTCTTAGCTTTAAAATGTGGGTTTTATAACTTCTTCCAAACAAGATTACTGTCTGGGGCTATGTTTTATGTATATTGTCTTTGTCTATTAACCGAATAGTTAACAGAGTAATTAAAAAGGTTAATCTTAAATATTAATTAGAGACTATTAAGTCTTACCTCCAGCCGTTTTATGTGTTATAAGTATTTGCAAAACTTTCAAAATAAAAGAAAACAGCGGATATGAGGTAAGTTAAAGTTAAGTTGTAAGAAATATACGTTATCGATTTAAAAAAGTAAAATAATAATAAAATAATAATAAAAAATCAAAAAAAAAAAAAAAAAATAGTAAAATAATAATAAGTTTTGAATATATGATTATAAAGTCATTTTTGCAAGAACTATTATATGGAAATAATTATATGGAAATGGAAATAAAAATAAATATTTGCGGGATATTTATGTACAATACACTTCTTAAGGGTTTTAGAGAGTTGTTTTTTATAAACTACTACTACTAATACTTACATAAAATGTAACTCTTTTTAAAAATAAATTCCTTGGTTTTAAACGATTCTGTCACTCGGGTCGCCGTAAAAAGTGTTCCAATGTCGAAGCCTAGACAAAAAATATTTAAAATATACTGAATTCTTCTTCAAGTTTAATTTAATAATAATAATTTAATAATAACAAGTTTAAATAATTCAAGTTTAATTTCAATTTCACTTATTATTTGAATAAACTTCGAACCTTTCCTCAAGTCAAGTAGGCAAAGTAGGCAATAGGAATGAGTTCCACGTGCCGATCAACTCTAAAACTCAAGTATCGGGTATCCATAGCTGAAACAATTGACTCGTGACAGCTGTAGGACTTGTGATGGTACCTCTACCTCCTGTTGCGGTATTTCCACCTGTAGCGCATTTTTCAGTTTCAGTGTTTTCTCAGCTTAGCGGGCCGGCAGCGATCACAGCGCGCGCCCACGCGCATACCAACACACACATCTATGCACACCTATATAGGTAACTCTATCTGGAAGCAGCGTCGACCGAGGCAGCAACAGAAGCCGCAGTAGCCGCGAATTTACCGTGCGGCGGCTGCCTAGCGGCATTCATCAAATTCAATGCGACAATTTAGTCGCTGAGTTCAGCTCAACGCTGATGGTTTACAGTCCGAAAGCACATAGCTAGTTAAGTAAAAAGCTGCGTTTCAATAAACACATAAAGCGCAGTTATTTTTCCCGCAGTACCGTTGTGTTGTACGCTGTAAGTTTAATTCGATTCCTAAAAGTGAGGCAGCTGCACCTGTAGCCATGCCAGTCGGTGTGTAGGCCAATAGAAAACCAGTCAAAAAATAAAGAAAATATATAAGAAAAATTGAAAAAAAGAAGCGGAAAGTAGACGAAAAGGAACCAAGCCGACTGCAAGGAATTCTAACCGCGAGTCTCAGGTAATTTTCCTCAGTGTACTTATAGTTCTTCCCTTGGCGATTATACAGACGTAAATGATTTCCTCCTGTGTGTGTGTCTGTGATGCTTATATTTTATTTTATTTTTTTTCATACTAATTTTATTAAAGACATGCATGTAAATTAAATCAAATCTGCGCTTTCATGAAATTCGTTTGCGCCGACATCCCCCTCTTCATCTTTTTGGGGTAAGTCTATCCCTTTCCACCATTTTAAGTGGCTAAGGCTAGAGAAAACGAAACACATAATTAATTAATTTATATTAATTTATAAACACACAAATTTTTTAATATTTTATTCAAACTTTCGAAATAAAGTTTAGAAAGAGGCTTTAGGGCTTCAATTTTAAAACACGACTGCTATAGTCCAATTTCCGCAAAAATAACACTAAGCAAATAAGCATTTAAGCCAAAAAAAGCACCCATTTAAACATTTCAATAACTTTTCAAATTGGTTTGGCTTAAAATCTTTTTAGAAACTTGTACTATTGGCTATTATAGGAGTCTACTTACAACATATATTAGCTTTGATTATCTAATAGTCCTATTACACACTTTATATTTTTTTCTAAAAATGACATTTTTTCCCCGTTACGTACATTTCAACGAACACAATATACCCTTGTACTGTACACTATACAAGACCCGGCTATAAAAAAGTGGAAAAACCAAAATAGTTTCAAAATACATTACAAATTGCTTAGAAAAAAAATACACAAGTGTCTACAGAATCTATGAAACAGCTGTAACTTCCAGCTAGCGTAACTTTTAGGCTTATTATTATTTAATTCCACATGCATAACAAAATTACATACGTACATATGTATGTATATGTATGTGTGGAGGCTAGTCAACCGACTATTAAATATAACAAACCATTTAAATAATGCACTTTATTCTATTTGTTTATATTTAACAATGAAATCCACTTTGGGTACAATTCCGTAAAAATTTCGGCGGTGATTCCCGGAGTGATTTGCCAAGCTAAATTAATTATAATTATTGACGGACACAATTTGAACCACTCTCGCGTTTAATTTATTCCTCACTCCGTTGTGTCGCAATTTTAAATGAGATACACAGTTTTGGCTGTTGTTTTGATTGTCCAAAATTAGTGGCTCGTTTATCATTATTTTCATCGACTCTATCGCTATGCCTTGTTTTTATCAGGTTTTGTTTTGATTGTTGACAGCTTGAGAGTGTGTCCTCAGTTGCCGGAACTTCCGCACATCGCCCTAGATAAAAATGAAAATAAAAGTTACTGTCGTAGTTGAATTGTAATGCGCGAACAATAAATGGCGCCTAAATACGATAACAATCGGGAAGAAGAGTCTTTTTCTTTTTTTCGGCAGCTAATTGCATTAAATTATTCCCAATTTAGAATCTGGCCAAAACAGAACTTTGTATCACCGCCAGACTTCGCACAGCTGTATCTTTGTATTCGCAAAATCGTATATATAATTGTATCTGGCTTAGACATGCAATTAATATATGTAGTAAATGAGTAATTTGGACCGCTATCGTTCCGATACGCTTGTGTGAAAAGTTTTGTCCGACAGCCGGAAATGAAAACAGTCGGAAAATAATCAAATGGAAGGTTTCAAATTTAATAACAGCCAATGGGCGCCCCGGGACGAAATATTTGACAGTAATTACATTAAATTTTGTATTAGAATTATCCAATCTTACATAAAATTTACTCGTAAACGACCTTTAGATCTTGTCATAACGTATTCCCGTGTTTATTAAATTAGCTCCACTAGGCAAGGGATGAGATAGCCGGTACTTTGTCACAATTGTATGACAATAAAAAAAAAACATTATGGGTTTACCATCTTGTCCTAAAAACTTTAAATTGGTTGATTTTAAGCTTAGCCAAGCAGAATGTGTTTATTATTTCGATAAATATTTCAAGCAAGCTATATATACCAAGAAAATTAAGAAGTTGTATATAAGGAAGCCTCTAGGAATTATGTTACATACAAAAATACCATTTGTCTGTAAAAGTTTGTTGAAAGGTAGCAACCTGTTACGAAAGAAGTCTTGTTTACTTTTTTCAACACGCCTATGGCCGTCAAGTATTCTTCGTTTGGATAATCAAATATGCTGCTTCCTGGAGTTGTACGTATCCATAACCATCGAATCGGCTATTTAGTATGCCACACTGTGTTTGGTAGCCAAGTCTAGTGACTATATGTTAACTTGACGTGACTTATGACCGGCCTAACTGACCTTAATAGCTCTTGGGGCTTTGTTTTACGCCTTTTCTTCCGACTTCTTTGATGAAGTCTGCGTGGGTGATTTGGGCAGACTACTATTTGGCCAAAACTGCAAGTTTGCTGAAGGTTTTTCTTAGTAAAATTTCAATGTCAAAGTCTTCTTCGGAGGTGAATCACAGTGCTCAAAAAGTTCGACTCTGGCTTTTATAGTAGTGTACCACGTTAATTATAACTTAAGTTTTTAAGTCCGAAGCTTTCTGATGAAATCTCGTAGAACCTATCATTTTATTGATTTCTCTTTAAGCCTAAACAGTTGCATTAACCTGAATATTCCAGTAGCGGAGAGTAATTTTTCGCAGTGAAACCTATATCATTTAGTTGAAAACGTGAATCCTAAATGCTTTTCTGGTACAATTAAAGGCAATTGAAGTAAAAGCAAACGAGATTTGCAATTTAAACCTAAACAATGCCTGAGACAATAAACTATTTAAAAGTAAGGTACAGTGGACCCTCGAAGGGGGGCTGGTGTGGAATTTGTGTGTGGATCGCTTTTAAATGGTTGCTTTTAATTACTGAGTGGTGTACAGACATTTTGTTTGTTGTTTGTTTGCTACTTTGCATTTCGTAGTTTGTATTTTGGCCAGTAGATTCGACCGCGTCATCGGTTGGCGGAAGTTGAAGATTAAAACGGTTACTGATGCACTTTATAGGTCGCCATATACTTGATTCCGAATGAAGGCCAGTTAGTTTTGCCGAAATTTCGTTCTTTTAACGACCTTGGATAGTGTTTTAACGAAAAAGCCAACAATCAATAAGAGCACTATATAGGCAATGGAAAAACCACAAGTTCTATAAATATTAATAATATGATTGATTTTCTTTTACTTAATTTAATTACATAAATATAAAGAATAAATATAAAGTATGAAGAACGTATAGATAAAAATGAAACAAAAAAACCTCATTATTATCAACACTATTATGAATACCTACTAAAAATTACAAATTATGGATGAACTCAGTCCATGAACTCATGAAGTCCATTCAAGGTTACATATTTAATAAAATTGACTAACTTATGTACATCCCAAAAAAATATTTTAACCTTTTAAATGGCACTAAAACCAATATTAATAATAGTTTTTTTTTTAGTGAATAAAAAATTAAAAATACCACTTCTTTATTTAATTTAGTTTTAGCTTAGTTAAAAATAAAAAATAAATTTGTTAAATTATTTAAGTAATTTGTTAATTTGTCATTCGTGGAATTACTCTTCTTATATTGCAATAAACAATGAAACTTGTATAATTAATTTTAAACTTTGAATAATTAGACCAAAAAAAAATATAATTCCACAATTCACTGACAATTTGATTACCAGTTGGTAAGTGTTTACTATTTTAATACCCTTGCAGAGGGTATTATAATTATTATTATAATTTTCGTCAAAAGTGTGCAACGCAGTAAAGGATACGTCCCTAATACGTCTTCGTCCCTAAATAGTATACAAATATAGTCTTGATTAGGATCACCTCCTTTGTTGATATGAGCATGTAAGTCTGTCTTCGGGCGGGGCCGAAGTTGATATACCTTTGCAAAACCGGATATATATCACAAACATCGGATATAGTTGGGCCCTTTTGAGAATATCATAATATAACCAATTTATTACCATAAAAAAATTAAAAAAACAAGAAAGGAAAGCTAACTTCGGGCGGAGCCGAAGTTTATATACCCTTGCAGTTAAAACCGGATATATATCGCAAACATCGGATATAGTTGGCCGATCCTTATCTGAATAGGAATATATAATCCAATTTATTACAATACAAAATCTAAAAAAAGTCCCAAACTTCTATCTTCGAAAATACGAAAGTTGATATTTCTACCAAAAACCATTTCCGATCGTACAGTTGTATGTCAGCTATAAGATATAGTCAACCGATCGTTATGAAACTTGGTAGATCGGATTAACTGACCAAAAATAGAATGTGTACCAAGTGCCAGCTTTCTATCATCAAAAACACGAAAGTTGGGTCATTTCCGATCGTTCAGTTATATGGCAGCTATGAGATATAGTCGGCCGATCCTTATGAAATTTGGTAGGTTGGATTAACTGACCAAAACTAGAATCTGTATTAAATTCCAGCTTTCTATCTTCAAAAACACGAAAGTTGGGTCATTTCCGATCGTTCAGTTATATGGCAGCTATAGGATATAGTCGGCCGATCCTTATGAAATTTGGCATGTCGTAATATTTTGCCAAAAATAGCTCTCATGTCAAATTTGAACTCTCTAACTCTAAAAACACCAAAGTTATACCATTTCCGATCAATCAGTTATATGGCAGCTATAGGATATAGTCGGCCGATCCGGGCCGCTCCGACTTATATACTGCGTGCAAAGGAAAGAAGGGTGTGTGCAAAGTTTCAAGACGATAGCTTTAAAACTGAGAGACTAGTTCGCGTAGAAACAGACAGACAGACGGACAGACGGACAGACGGACATGCTCATATCAACTCAGGAGGTGATCCTGATCAAGAATATATATACTTTATAGGGTCGGAGATGTCTCCTTCACTGCGTTGCACACTTTTGACCAAAATTATAATACCCTCTGCAAGGGTATAAAAAGTCACAAGTCTATCTTCAAAAATACCAAAGTTGGTATTTCTACCAAATACCATTTTCGATCGTTCAGTTATATAGCACATATAGGATATAGTCGGCCGATCCTTACGAAAAGTGGTATGTCGTATTATTTTGGCAAAAATAGCATTCATGCAAAAATTCTCTAACTCTAAAAACACCAAAGTTATAGCATTTCCGATCAATCAGTTATATGGCAGCTATAGGACATAGTTGGCCGATCCTTTTGAAATTTGAGACGTCCTATTATTTTGCCAAAAATAGCTCTCATGTAAATTTTGAAAGCTCTAATTCTAAAAACACCAGTTATAGTTATACCATTACCGCCCAATCAGTTATATGGCAGCTATAGGATATAGTCGGCGGATCCCGGCCGTTCCGGCTTATATACTGCGTGCAAAGGAAGTTTTAAGTCCATAGTTTCAAAACTGAGAGACTAGTTTGCGTAGAAACAGACAGATGGAGAGACAGACGGACATGCTCATATCAATTCAGGATGTGATCCTGATCAAGAATATATTAACTTTATAGAGTCGGAGTTGTCTCCTATACTGCGTTTCATACCTTGGGACAAATTTACAATCACCTCTGAAAGGGTATACAAATAAAATTTAAGCATTCTTACTTAGGCTGTAAGAAATCAAGTCTGTCAAGAAAGTTGTAAAAACAACGCAATGTGTTTTGGCTTTTCTGATAAGAGCCATTCTATTTTATCTCACGGGAAAGAATTCAACACACTCTATAGAAGGTAGAATGAATCAACGGTCCATAATATGTTTTTGCAATCACTTCGCGATTGTTGCTTAAATTTAAAAACAAAACAAAACTTACACCACATTGGCATGATAAGGTTAATGTGCTTGGCACGTGAAGTTGTTTTGGGGGAGAGCAGACTGCCGGCCAAACACGGCTTTAGGCCACCTCGGTGTGGCAATTGTGTAAACACTTTCCGCGAACAACAACCCATGCACTTGCCAAAACAATTAAAAGCTACAAAGAAGAGAAATTCCAACAAAGACGACATCGAATGAAAGCAGCTAACTTTTAAAATTTCCAATGCCAATTCATCAAGAGCTTCACAGAGATAGAGCTCTCGGAGCCGGGAGATTTCGCTTGTAGAGATCGGAGTTCCACTAATTACATTTTGTAATTGAATTGCCCTGACACAAAAACATCAGATCCGCGATGTTCCACGACAAGCTTCGTTAACGACCCTCAAGCGGATGCCTGCACGGGGGGATCCCTTGTGGGTATAACCAATAGGGGTGTCATTAACAAAGTAGCAAGTAGCCGGATGCCAGATAACGGGCCCCCCTCAAGAAAGATGATACCACCGGACGCTACGAGTAGGCAATGACAGAAGTGAGTAAGGCCGAAGCCACTCTTGCTCAATTCTTCGCCCAACAAACACTGCACACTGTCATCAAAGTCAATTGAATTTGGAAGAATATGCGATTAGTATTATCACTCAGATTTCAAACCTTTCCGAGGTATTTCTTATTTCACTTCTAACACTTCTCCTATGAGTTTATTACATAAAATTTTTAAGGGGAAATGACATGATAATGAAACGTCGTAAAATATCTAATGGTATATTGATGGTGTTGACTGCTATATAAATATTAAAAAAAACAAGAAAGCAAAGCTAACTTCGGGCGGAGCCGAAGTTGATATACCCTTGCAGTTAAACCCGATATATATAGCAAACATCGGATATAGTTGGCCGATCCTTATGGGAATAGGAATATATAATCCAATTTATTACAATACAAAATCTAAAAAAAGTCCCAAACTTCTATCTTCAAAAATACGAAAGTTGATATTTCTACCAAATACCATTTCCGATCGTTCAGTTATATGGCAGCTATAGGATATAGTCGACCGATCCTAATGAAATTTGGTAGGTCGGATCAACTGACCAAATATATAATCTGTACCAAGTTCCAGCTTTCTATCTTCAAAAACACGAAAGTTGGGTCATTTCCGATCGTTCAGTTATATGGCAGCTATAGGATATAGTCGGCCGATCCTTACGAAATTTAGCATGTCGTATTATTTTGCCAAAAATAGCTCTCACCTAAAATTTGAACTCTCTAACTTTAAAAACACCAAAGTTATACCATTTCCGATCAATCAGTTATATGGCAGCTATAGGATATAGTCGGCCGATCCAGGCCGTTCCGACTTATATACTGCGTGCAAAGGAAAGAAGGGTGTGTGCAAAGTTTCAAGACGATAGCTTTAAAACTGAGAGACTAGTTTGCGTAGAAACAGACAGACGGACAGACAGACGGACTAATAATCAATAATATATATACTTTATAGGGTCGGAGATGTCTCCTTCACTGCGTTGCACACTTTTGACCAAAATTATAATACCCTCTGCAAGGGTATAAAAACACAATTTTATACTTTTTACATTTTTTTTTTGTTAAGTTTTTCATACGCTGTTTTTCTGAAGCCTACTTGACAAAATCTATGTTGTGAGAACGCCAAAACGCTATTTAAGATGGTCTCTAGGTTTTCGTTTAATTTAACACTAAAATGTAGCAAAATTTGTGTTTGGTACGTGCTGATTAAAAAAATGTAACTATTAAGATTATGAACGAACACCATATTCCAGAATTACATAAACCTTCACTGATTTATATTTATTAGAGCTTTACCTGTTTCGTAGATTGCCGCCCCCACGCCAGTACCATGTCTCCCAAGGACGGCAGCCTGGGCAACCCCGAGTACGGCAAGTACACGGTGAACCAGACGCCCGAGAGTCCTCCGACCACATCAGCGAATACGCACACACAGACCGTCAGCCACGAGAAAATTCCTTCATCGAATGAAAATACGAATGGTAATGCGACAACGACGACCACGAAGCGTTCCTGGCGGGAGAAAATCCGTCTGGTGGCCAACAACATCACCGTGGAACCCATCCTGGCCGCCTACATCATGCCCAGCGTTCTCTCCAACCTGGCCACTCAAAATCTCAATCTCGAGAAGGCCTGTCGGGTGAACATGGCCTATGGAGGTGAGGTGTGCGATGCACTGACCCGCCGCCAAACTGCTAACTACACACTGTAAGAATAAATAATTTAAAATGAAATCTTTAATTCATAGTTATGGATCCCTTGAATACAAGGGAGAGAAATAGGGATTTCTGGTAAAAATGCCAGATAAATCTTCGAGTTTATATAGTTGAAATCTTATTGGTCAGGATTACCTCCCAGATTATTATAGGTACATATGACCGAATATTAGACAACGATTAAGTTTCTCAGTTTTAAAACTATCGAGACATTGAGATGTTACATAAATTCGTCTTTAACTTGATGCGTCTCAGATAGGCCGACAATTTTTCATATAGCCCCATCAGAGAAATTGAACAAAAGTGTATCTCTTGTTTTTTTCCCCCCGATAGCTTTCATTTAATCAAACTAGATAAACTTTTACAACTTTCGGAATTTTTAAGATGAAACAGTAACTTTCCTCAGAATCATGATATCTTGAAGGATATTTAACTCTGCCCAAGACTTGAAGACTTCTCTCTATGTATTTTTTTTTCTATTTTTATTTTTTCTCACTTTATATATTTAAAACTTTTTATTTTAAAGCAATGCACCTTACTGTATAATAATATTTTAATGGATAAAGGGTCATAACGCATTTTCCTAAAGAAACAAATTTGCTGAAAGTATAAATATTTCATTAAACTGTCATATTTTTGAAAACGGAAATAAAGTAAAAATTCCCCTTTGAAATAAAAGAAAAAAAGATTTGTTTATAATTTGTTTGATTATTTTGATTGCATTTCAGTAGTTTTTTAAAAATAAATTGATAGAAATTTCGAAATTGATTTGTTTTGACGAAGCATAAAAACAAGCATCAATACATACATAAAATAAGCATCAAAAAACAAAGTTTACAATGCCTAAAAGTCTAGAAAATATATTTTTCTTTTGAAATAAAATATTTACTTTAAGTTTGTATAAAAATGGTTCGATAAGTTTTTAATTAAAAAATGAATTGCCTCTTAATACATTTGTTGCCTTAAACTTTAATTTATTCATTAATTTATTTTATCTTCTCACCAGAGAGGAGGAAACCGTGCAACAGATGGTGGCACGAATGGCGGCCTGGAAAACGGTGATCCAGTCGCTGTTCCCCTGCCTGCTGATCCTCTTTTGGGGTTCCTGGAGCGACCGCCATCGCCGTCGAAAGCCGTGCATCCTGATCCCAGTAGTGGGAGAATTCCTAGGAGTAGTGGGGCTTATGCTGTGCGTCTACTTCGAGAACGCGCCCATGGAGGCCGCCGCTCTCACGGAGGCCATCTTCCCGTCCCTCAGCGGCGGCTGGTTCACCATGCTGATGGGCGTCTTTAGCTACATAGCGGACATCACCACGGAGGAGGAACGCACCCTGCGGATTGGCATCCTCAACGTCTGCTTCTCGGTGGGCGTTCCCATTGGCATGGCCTTCTCCGGAGTGCTCCTCAAGTGAGTCCCTCGAATCCTTGTTTTATATGTGGAAGCAATTACTTCATTACATTTTGAAGACTGTTTAAAATTCGACGTTCAACATGATTAACTAACAAAAAGAAAATAAAAACAAGAAAGGAAAGCTAACTTCGGGCGGAGCCGAAGTTTATATACCCTTGCAGTTAAAACCGGATATATATCGCAAACATCGGATATAGTTGGCCGATCCTTATGGGAATAGGAATATATAATCCAATTTATTACAATACAAAATCTAAAAAAAGTCCCAAGCTTCTATCTTCAAAAATACGAAAGTTGATATTTCTACCAAATACCATTTCCGATCGTTCAGTTATATGGCAGCTATAGGATATAGTCGGCCGATCCTAATGAAATTTGGTAGGTTGGATCAACTGACCAAAAATAGAGTCTGTACTAAATTCCAGCTTTCTATCTTCAAAAACACGAAAGTTGGGTCATTTCCGATCGTTCAGTTATATGACAGCTATAGGATATAGTCGGCCGATCCTTATGAAATTTGGCATGTCGTATTATTTTGCCAAAAATAGCTCTCACCTAAAATTTGAACTCTCTAACTCTAAAAATACCAAAGTTATACCATTTCCGATCAATCAGTTATATGGCAGCTATAGGATATAGTCGGCCGATCCGGGCCGTTCCGACTTATATACTGCGTGCAAAGGAAAGAAGGGTGTGTGCGAAGTTTCAAGACGATAGCTTTAAAACTGAGAGACTAGTTTGCGTAGAAACAGACAGACGGACAGACAGACAGACGGACAGACGGACAGACGGACATGCTCATATCAACTCAGGAGGTGATCCTGATCAAGAATATATATACTTTATAGGGTCGGAGATGTCTCCTTCACTGCGTTGCACACTTTTGGACAAAATTATAATACCCTCTGCAAGGGTATAAAAACGTGACAAAATCGTATTCCTACGATGTGCTTTTGAGTTGCCCAGTAATTCAATCTTTTTACGTTATTTTTCTGTGCTTGTTTATAAAGAATTTCTGCCTAAAAGTATGCAATAACAAAATTAACCATCACCATTCGTCACTCAGGTGAAAGTCGACTACAGAATATGTTAAAAATATAAATGAAATACATATTTGAAATTGATTGTTTCTTAAAGCCTTATACCCTTGCAGAGGGTATTATAACTTTATCCAGCTTAGTAAAGGAAAGGTTCAAAATCCCCTCCTGAGTTGATATGAGCATGTTCGTCTGTCTGTCTGTTTCTACGCAAACTAGCTATAGACTATGTCTGTTTCTCTCAGTTTTAAAGCTATAGACTTGAAACTTTGCACACACCCTTCTTTCCTTCGCACGCAGTATATAAGTAGGAACGGACGGGATTATCCGACTATATCCTATAGAAATATCCTATAGAAAGTTGGTACAAATACCAACTTTGGTATTTTTGAAGATAGAAGCTTGGGACTTTTTTTTAGATTTTTTATCGTAATTAATTGGTTTTATTATGATATTTTCATAAGGATCGACCAACTATATCCGATGTTTGAGATATATATCCGGTTTGAACTGCAAGAGTATATCAACTTCGGTTCCGAACGAAGTTAGCTTTCCCTTCTTGTTTTTCTATTACCCTTGTCTTTGCAGGCAAATTGGATTCTACGGTGTCTTTTCCATTTCGGCCGCCTTCTACGTGATCGCTTTTGTGTACGGATTCTTTTTCCTGGAGGAACCGGTGGCTCGGCCAGAAAAGAGTGTGGAGCAAAAAAGCCTGCTGGCAGACTTTTTCGACAAGGAGCACGTGGTGCAAACGTTCCGTGTGGCGTTCCAAAAGGGCGAGAACCAGCGACGCAAGCGAGTGATTTTGCTGATGATCGTGGTGATGGTGATAATTGGACCACTTCACGGAGAGATGGCTGTAACGTACCTGTTCACCCGGTTCCGCTTCAATTGGTCGGAGGTAGAGTTCAGTTTCTTCTCCACCTATGCGATGTTCACCGGCTTGATTGGAGTCATCTTCTGCGTCGGCGTACTCTCCCATAAGCTGAACATCGACGACGCCCTGGTAGGTGTCCTCTCGAGCACCTCCAAGATCCTCTCCTCGTTCGTATATGCCTTTGCCACCCTACCGTGGCACATGTACCTTGGCGGCCTGGTGGAGATCTTCAACGGTACTGCATTCATCGCTATGCGCTCTATCGCCACCAAGCTGGTCTCCAAGGACGAGCTGGGAAAGGTGAACTCCCTCTTCGGTGTCGCCGAGGCGCTAATGCCGATGGTCTTCGCCCCCATGTACACCACCCTCTACGCGGCCACCCTCCGCGTTCTGCCCGGCGCCTTTTTCCTCCTCGGCGGTGGTCTTACCATGTTCTCTGTGATCATCTTCCTGTAAGTAATAGGGGAAATAAAGTTAAATTGGGCCAACTAGGCGTATTAAAAAAAAATTTTTTTTGTCAAAAAGGTACTTGTTGGAAACAATATTTACAAAGATACCAAAATTGTGTGTCATCGTCTTAAACGTTTTACGCAGTTATGATTTTATAAAAATCTAAATTTGTATTTTATCTTATTCTAATCTACATTGTACATATATACATAAGTATCCTCGTTCATAAGTATCTCCTTGTAAAATTTTGAATTTCCTTTCAAATCCCGAAAATAAGCCATTTTGTCGAAATTGGAAATATTTTAAAACCCTTTGATCATTACCTGCATTTATCTATTCTATAAAATAATCCATAACATATTTTGAAATTGGCTTTTCCAAACTGACTAAAACGAGATCACCGCAAAGCTTAGTTTTTTCAAAGAAATATTTTTAAATAATAATTTTAAAAATAATAATAAAGTATAATAATAATAAAAAATAATAATTTTAAAAATAATTTTACATGGTCGACATGGTATTATCAGCTTTAAAATAGCTTTTACTTAAGTAAATAATAATTGTCTTGAAAAAGATTAAGTGCAATAGCCCCTTAAAAAACTTTGACATCTGATCAAATCAAAACAGCTAATCGAAAATTTGTAAATGAAGTTTTACCATATTATATTTAAAGTACACAATAAAATTTTTTTTTAATAAATCGAAAACGAAATGGCGGCCCTGCAGCCCTTATTCGTAGGCCCTATTTTTTTAAAGGGGGTCGATGGCCGAACACCTAACGTCCTTAATTTTTGATCTAGAACAAAAAATCAAGTTTGGTTAGTTTCTGTATCTCAACGGCTATCGACACACGTAAGATTTCGATATATTGAATTTTTGCAAAATAGTGAGTGATTGAACAAAATGTTCAATTTTCACGAACAAAAAACGTCACAAAATTGTTGATAAAAAAAAAAGTAAGAAAAATAAAAAAATCCTACGTGTGTCGATAGACATGGGTATTCTGAGTATACTGTCGAAATTTTAGATCGATAGGTTAAGAGTTGTTCGAGTTATGTGTTCGGCCAACTCAAAAAAAGCGGTTTCGAGAAAAACGCGTTTAAAGTTTTAAGTACGCAGAATGAAAAATTTCGACACTTAGACACTTTTGCCGGACTCTATCTTTTGATATGTCATTTTTAAGACCCTAAAGAAATTTTTAGGCGAAAAAAAAAAATTTCGATTTTTTCAAAATTCTACTCAGATGTCCCCCCTTAAGTTGTGGGAACTTAAGAACCCTTTCAAGTTCAAACCCCCTTTAATTAAATACCAAAAAATATGTACATCATATTTTGTACAAAAATATGTACAACAAGAAAGGAAAGCTAACTTCGGGTGGAGCCGAAGTTTATATACCCTTGCAGTTAAAACCGGTTATATATCGCAAACATCGGATATAGTTGGCCGATCCTTATGGGAATAGGAATATATAACCCAATTTATTACAATAAAAAATTTAAAAAAAGTCCCAAACTTCTATCTTCAAAAATACGAAAGTTGATATTTCTACCAAATACCATTTCCGATCGTTCAGTTATATGGCAGCTATGGGATATAGTCGGCCGATCCTAATGAAATTTGGTAGGTAGGATCAACTGACCAAAAATAGAATCTGTATTAAATTCCAGCTTTCTATCTTCAAAAACACGAAAGTTGGGTCATTTCCGATCGTTCAGTTATATGGCAGCTATAGGATATAGTTGGCCGATCCTTATGATTCGGCATGACGTAATGTTTGGCCAAAAATAGCTCTCATATCAAATTTGAACTCTCTAACTCTAAAAACACCGAAGTTATACCATTTCCGATCAATCAGTTATATGGCAGCTATAGGATATAGTCGGCCGATCCAGGCCGTTCCGACTTATATACTGCGTGCAAAGGAAAGAAGGGTGTGTGCAAAGTTTCAAGACGATAGCTTTAAAACTGAGAGACTAGTTCGCGTAGAAACAGACAGACGGACAGACAGACGGACAGACAGACGGACAGACAGACGGACAGACAGACGGACAGATAGACGGACAGACGGACATGCTCATATCAACTCAGGAGGTGATCCTGATCAAGAATATATATACTTTATAGGGTCGGATATGTCCCCTTCACTGCGTTGCACACTTTTGACCAAAATTATAATACCCTCTGCAAGGGTATAAAAATATGTACATAAATATGTACATAAATACATTTAGTCTCTTGGACAAAACATTCTTATGTAATTCATTATAAACAAGAAAGGAAAGCTAACTTCGGGCGGAGACGAAGTTTATATACCCTTGCAGTTAAAACCGGATATATATCGCAAACATCGGATATAGTTGGCCGATCCTTATGGCAATAGGAATATATAATCCAATTTTTTACAATACAAAATCTAACAAGAAAGCAAAGCTAACTTCGGGCGGAGCCGAAGTTGATATACCCTTGCAGCTAAAACCGGATATATATCGCAAACATCGGATATAGTTGGCCGATCCTTATGATTACATCATAATAAAACCAATTAATTACAATAAAAAATCTAAAAAAAAAGTCCCAAGCTTCTATCTTCAAAAATACCAAAGTTGATATTTCTACCAAAAACCATTTCCGATCGTACAGTTATATGTCAGCTATAAGATATAGTCAACCGATCGTTATGAAACTTGGTAGATCGGATTAACTGACCAAAAATAGAATGTGTACCAAGTGCCAGCTTTCTATCATCAAAAACACGAAAGTTGGGTCATTTCCGATCGTTCAGTTATATGGCAGCTATGAGATATAGTCGGCCGATCCTTATGAAATTTGGTAGGTTGGATTAACTGACCAAAACTAGAATCTGTATTAAATTCCAGCTTTCTATCTTCAAAAACACGAAAGTTGGGTCATTTCCGATCGTTCAGTTATATGGCAGCTATAGGATATAGTTGGCCGATCCTTATGATTCGGCATGACGTAATGTTTGGCCAAAAATAGCTCTCATATCAAATTTGAACTCTCTAACTCTAAAAACACCGAAGTTATACCATTTCCGATCAATCAGTTATATGGCAGCTATAGGATATAGTCGGCCGATCCAGGCCGTTCCGACTTATATACTGCGTGCAAAGGAAAGAAGGGTGTGTGCAAAGTTTCAAGACGATAGCTTTAAAACTGAGAGACTAGTTCGCGTAGAAACAGACAGACGGACAGACAGACGGACAGACAGACGGACAGACGGACAGACGGACAGACGGACATGCTCATATCAACTCAGGAGGTGATCCTGATCAAGAATATATATACTTTATAGGGTCGGAGATGTCTCCTTCACTGCGTTGCACACTTTTGACCAAAATTATAATACCCTCTGCAAGGGTATAAAAATAAGTCCCAAGCATCTATCTTCAAAAATACCAAAGTTGATATTTCTACCAAAAACCATTTCCGATCGTTCAGTTCAGATCGTCCGACAGATCATATGGCAGCTGTAAGATATAGGCGGCCGATCGTTATGAAATTTTAAAGGTCGGATTAACTATAGCTATAAAATATAATCTGTACTAAGCTCGAGCTTTCTATCTTCAAAAAAACGAAAGTTGGGTCATTTCCGATCGTTCAGTTATATGGCAGCCAGGGCCGTAGCTAGCATGGGGCAGGTGGAGCGGTGCCCCAGGGCCCCCGAAGGGAAGGGGCCCCGCCGGGGCAAAAGACTTCCGTATAGGGGGCCCCAAATTTACTTGTTGCCCCAGGGCCTCCGAGGCTCTAGCTACGGCCCTGATGGCAGCTATAGGATATAGTCGGCCGATCCTTATGAAATTCAGTATGTCGTATTATTTTGCAAAATTCGACCTTTCTCACTCCAAAAACACTAAAGTAACAGCATTTCCGATCAATCAGTTATATGGCAGCTATAGGAAACTTTTACACACTTTTGACCAAAATCATAACACCCTCTGCAAGAGTATAAATATGTATGAATTAAACTAATTTTTATTTTGTAATTCCTTTCAGATGGATGTACCGTTTCCAGTTGAAGCAGAGACGAAGACTAGCCCGATCGGACGCGGAGCGGGCTTCCGTGAAGGATCCGAATGGCAACATCAACGCCATCGAAGCTTTGGCTCTGGCCAGCGAGGCCAAAGGTCAAATGAACGGCATCATTGCCAATGTGATACACGAGTCTCTCGAGCATGCCGATTCTCCACGTACGACTATCTCCGAGCCGGTCGAACGGGGAATCGAGAACCTGGGATTTATTCAGGAGGAGCTCCAAGACACCAAGGCGGTGTAGGAAGGCAACTTTATCCGGTCTCGTTTTATGTACATACTTATACAACCACGTTTTCCCAGGGATGATGAAACAGGAATATCGTGCAAGGATTCAAAAACTTAGATATCCTAGATCTGTAAAACCCATACGAGTTTGGGGTACTTTGCGAGATCCTAGGTTGAAGTCATCTGATTTAATTGAAAGCTAAATTTATTTCTTCATATTTTAAACCAGTTAAGAAAAGTATTCGAAACAAATGTTTCCAAATATCTAAAGATCGCACTCATCTTCCATCACTCCATGGACGCATGGGTAACAATTGTTTTAGTCTAAAGTCCTTTTTCCTATCTACCTAAAAAATAACATGTACAATTGCAAATACACATGCTTTTTTTTTTATTTAGCTCTAAGTGATTTTATGTATTTCCCATTTTGTTGTAATTTTTATTATATACAACGTTTTTTTTGTTCGTACCTATAAGAAATATTTAGAGGTATTTAATAAATGTAACTGCGCCCGAAACTTTGCTCCGTCTATTGACCCGTTGCGGAACGATATCCCGCATATCACCGTGCACTGCTGAAAACCACAATCTCTGCAAATGGCAAACAATTACACACACAAATAAACTGCCAGTGGGGAGGGAGGGCGTCCTGGCCCCGGGACTATCGTACCTTTCTGCACGCACACAGGACAATCGGAAAGGACACTGGACACTGCAAAGGGGCGCGAAACAATTGGTTTGCTCATGTCGCAAATAATTGTCGACTGCGTTTCACAAAACGGATGTGTTTTGTTGCCTGATATTGCTGCTCTTTTGGGAGTGTGTCCTTGCAAAAAAGGATGTGAGTGCATCTCCGTGATATGTCAGAAATTGGCGTTTTCATAAGGGTCAAGCCGACACTGTATCATTATGTCATTATCCCAAACATCTCATAGCGGAGATCTCATCTCTTCAGCAATTTCTTTTTCTATTGAACTATAAACATTTCTGACAACATGTCCAATTGTGTTCAATAGTTTCTATCATATTTTTGTTAGAATTATTTTTTTATGTTTGATTCCTCACAATAAAAAAGGAAATTATTTTATTTACTTTGTAACCTCTGTATTGAACATTACAGCGTCTGAATATGGCTGAAAGCTTTTATTAATAAATTTTTCTAAAAAAAGTGACTTACTCCCAAAAAAAGAATTTCTTTAATATTCTAATATAAATTAATTAAATTATAAAAGTTAAGTTTAAAACTTGATGGGACATTAAGGAAACTAAGTGTGACCTTACGCCGAAAATCGATGAGAAACTTGCAACGCTTTAACATAAGTACCGGGTATACCATTGTACCATCATTATAATAATTCATCGGCGAGGCATTCAATCAGATACATATATTGCAAAATGTTTCTATGAAAAGGAATTTAAATAAATATATTTTTAAATTATTATCTTTTTTGCTGAAGGGATAATTTTATGTTGCTATTAAGGCTAAGCTGCTTATATATACCTCAAATTAGTGATATAATTTTGATTTAAGTATTCAACGGGATCAATACAGATAATTAAGATTAAAATGGGATTTCAGACGGTTTAAAGGTACTTACTTACCTTCTAGTGAATTACAATCAGGCAATCTGTCGCTCGGAAGCATTGCCGCTCGCGATGCATTTTTGGCAACCGCATGCGGCACGTTCTGCACTTGACAGGTCTGGCAGGGGCGGTGGGCATGGAAGACAGCATCATCGATGGGCATCCCCGTTTTTCTGTCTTGCAGGGCTTTAATTACTTTTTCTATATCGACTGCGCCGAGTTTCCTTCAATAAAACGCCTACCTGTCCCAGGTGCAGCCCGCCTCCAACCGCCCACTTGATCGTTTTTTCCAAAGCCATTTTAGGCCAAACCCTTTATGTAGCCATGCCATGCTTAGCAACATTGCTGCTGGCCAACATGTTGCCGACTCAAGGCAGTCATGTGGCTGGCTTTCGGAAATATGATATGCCACTATGTTCTGTTTTGTCTGCTTTTTCTCTGTTGGCTTAAGATAAATTTTGACCCATAAATAATTGGGCTAAACAATGCGAGTGCAACGAATTCGAGCTCGGACTAGAATTGGAATGGGAATGGGTTAGGATGCGTATTTATTTATGTATTTATAGACAAACAAGCGGGACAAGCGGGGCGCCCATAAATCTAAAGCGGCCTTCATTTAATCTGGCTTAAACACGCATTTTCTTGACAATTTCACAGTAAACCGTTCATTTAACATGTCCCTGCTCTTGTTCCCGGAAAATTAATTGAGCACTCCACATAATTAATATGCGATTTGACTTCAAATGGTCGGGGACATAAATCAAGTAAATGCTAACGGTAAATCAAACGCAAACGCAAGCTCAGATGCAAAGTCTAAGGCAAGGGCAGAACCCACCGGATTGATTGAATCTCGCCCATGGTCCATGGGCAAATGAATTTGACCCGAATCAAACAAGTCAATTAGGCGAAAGAGCCGTAGTTGGCCAGCCGGGTAGAAAAATAAGTCCATAGACATAATTTCTGGTCTCTAGAAATTTCACTAAAAAATTCATTTTCGAAAAAAAAGTTTGTGCGTGAAAAGTCGATCGTTCAAGCACAAAAGAATTTCATTACGAACATTTAAAAAAAAAATTGAAGTAAATCGGTTCAGTAGTTTTCCGCCAATCCATGTCACCGCAAAGTCATTTTTCAAGATACACCATTTCGAGATATTCGCGTTTAAAGTTTCAAGTTCAGTTCAAGGCCGCGACGAGGCGCGCGGCTAGGAGCGCTGTAACTTTTTTTCTACTGCTCCAATCTCTATGAAAATTTGGGAAAATGTTCTCAAGGAGTTGGAGTTCTCAAATTTCGATTTTTTTTTAAATAAAAAAGTATATAACCCCCTAAATGAACGGTTTACTGTGAAATTGTCAAGAAAATGCGTTTATTTAAAAAATGCAAAATTTTTGACTCAAACGTGATCTGCGCAGGTACCATACGATCCCAATTTCCAAATACGATAGTTCTATAAATTTTACCCCGCTTGTGTGTAAAAAGGTATATATGGGTATATCTCCTCTAAAAATCGGTCTATTTGGATGTAATTTCAGAATGATATTCAGATATATACTAACTATTGAAATAGTTTGGCATCAAAAGTTGTTCAAAAGTACACCTTCGTGTACTGGCGCTAAAGAATTTCGCGATTTGTGGGAGCGGAGGGTAGTGGCAAAATGTTGAAACAAACTGAACCTAGGTAGTGTAGGAGTCTCCATGCCAAATCCTATAGCTCTATTTCTTAGTCTCTGAGATCTACGCGTTCATTCGGACGGACGGACATACGTACATACATGGCTATATCGACTCGGCTGTTGATGCTGATCAAGAAAATTTATACTTTATGGGCTCGGAGATGATTGTTGCATACATTCACACGACTAAAATATAACCTTGAACTCTACGAGTACCGGGTATAAAAATACTACAAGTGAGAGTTTAAACCAGGGGTGCCCAAGCTCTGCATACGTAAGAGAAAACTCTCATACCAATGCAAAAAATCACCAATACATTGGCGCGAGAATTTTTTTTTCCAATCCACTGAAAAATAAAATTATAGTAAGATTCACAAGGGGTTTAAATAAATCAAAATAACAAAAAAATACATTTTATTATAGCAATTAAAACAAGAAAGAAAAGCTAACTTCGGGCGAAACCGAAGTTTATATACCCTTGCAGTTAATACCCGATATACATATATACTGCAAACATCGAATGCAGTTAGCCGATCCTTATGAAAATATCATAATAAAACAAATATATTATAATACAAAATCTAAAAAAAAGTCCCAAGCTTCTATCTTCAAAAATACCTAAGTTGGTATATTTACCAAATACCATTTCCGATCGTTCAGTTATATGGCAGTTATCAGATATAGTCGACCGATCGTTATAAAATTTGGTAGGTTGGATCGACTGACCAAAAATAGAATCCGTACTAAGTTCCAGCTTTCTATCTTCAAAAAAACGAAAGTTGGGCCATTTCCGATCGTTCAGTTATATGGCAGCTATAGGATATATTCGGCCGATCCTTATGAAATTTGGCATGTAGTATTATTCTGCCAAAAATAGCTCTCTTGTAAAATTTGACTTTAGAAACTCCTTTGACTCTCTAACTTTAGAAACATCAAAGTTTTACCACTTCCGATCAATCAGTTATATGGCAGCCATAAGATATAGTCGGCCGATCCCGGCCGTTCGGACCTACAATATACTGCGTGCAAAGGAAAAAAGGGTGTGTGCAAAGTTTCAAGTCGATAGCTTTGAAACTGAGAGACTAGTTCGCGTAGAAACAGACAGACGGACAAGCTCATATCAACTCAGGAGGTGATCCTGATAAAGAATATATATGTACTTTATAGGGTCGGAGATGTCTCCTTCACTGCGTTGCACACTTTTGGACAAAATTATAATACCCTCTGCAAGGGCATAAAAAGGCCCTCCATTTTTAAGAAGAGCTTATAATTCTACTATGGCAAATAATGCAGAGCTTCTTACTTAAAAAAAAATGTTCGGCGAAGAAGGAATTTATCGCTTCAGGTCGACCATTTCGGCAGAAACAAAAACAAGAATGAATTTCTTGCAGTAAAAAGTTTACGGCACTTCAACAACAAAATGCATTCGGAGTAGCACAATTGAGGATAATAGGGAAAACACGAAAAATTTTTATTGTAATTGCCCTTTGCCTATGCTGGGAGCAACGAAGCTTATGGCGTGAGCAACGAACCTTATGGCGTGAGCAGTCTCACACAACTCCGTATGCATGAGCATTTACAAAAACAAATGAGAAGTGAAAGCAATGGGATGAGCACCACTGTCATACATCATACCCTTGACCTTCCCAATATGAGGGGTGTTAAAAAAAAACAAGGATGTTGAACAAAAGATAAGGAAGCTGGAGGAATGCTCTCCTTGACGTAGAAAAGTCAACCGATTTGACCGGTAAATTCCCGCAAAGGACTCTATCCGTGGGTTGCTAATGGGAGGATACGGGTGGTCGGGGATGATTGTGGGTGGTTATGGGTGGTTGAAGGCGGTAATGGGGCTTTAGCCGTAAGTGGGTCGGGCCACTCACTCGCTTAGACGCACTAGAAAAGGCCAGAAACACATGTCAGTAAGCCTATTCAGTCTCTTAACCTCATTCCTCGGTCTGGTTTTCGCTTTCTTCCCATTACTCACTCTTTTCCTCCACTACTCGACCTTTCCGTACTCTTCCCGTTCCTTTTCCTTTTCCTGTTACTTTGCCATTTCCTTTCAGCCTGGCCAATGTCACAGTCCGATTCCAACTTCGATGGCAATTGCTAAGTAGTTTCGCTTTTAGTGCAAAATAAAGTCACCCATTTTCTGCGTATTGTGCTTTTTTTTATTATTGTTGCCGCCACTTCCTATTTGTTTGATTCTGATATTTGCCACTCTCGAGGGTAAAAAAGTTTCTTCTAATAGGACTCTGTTTAGACCG